TAAGTTTTAAATTCTCATATTTTACATATAACCGACCCCTACGGTAACCTTTGGGGTCGCGCAATACGCGCGACCCTGACAACCACCTGAGCACCCCAGCCAGGTGAGCACCAGTTTTAGAACTTTGTAGAATTCCAACCCATCAACTTTATCATATAATTCAACCACCACCACCATGCCCAAATTCAATAAAAATTATGAAGATCAAATGCTCAAAGCTATTGATGTGTTAAATACACAAAATCCCTTAAATATCACCAAAACTATATATGAATATAGAGTTAAATAGTAAACCTTTTCTGTAAGGTAGAAAGGACAGTCTAATCTATGTAAATGACCACCAACTAATATCAGATTATCAGAAAAGTAAGAAAAGGCTCTATGTTATTATGTTGATATTTTAAAGTAATTAAATATAAAGCTACTTGCATAAATAATCTAATCAAGTGCTAATTTTATTCTAAAATTAATTTATATCAATTTAGACACCCCTCCACCTACTGTCAGTGAGAAATAGTTAAATTAATAGCTAGAAAGATATTCTAAATATAAAAGATATTATTTTAGAGTTATAAAGCTTGACTGCAAGTGTGCAGAGGATTATAAGATTATTTAAAAATAATTTCAGAAGCTCTATCAGACTATTCAGAATTATAAGATATTAAAGAAGGATATCTACAATTTTGATAAGACTAACTTTAATATCAGTGTTAATTGTGATTAATAAATTATTATTAAGAACTTTAATATTAATAAGCCTTATATTAAGATAAATTTAAACTGTGAATATATTATTGTGGTTAAAGTAATTAATGCAGATAATTAGACCTATTTATTACTTATTCTTATAAGTAGTAACTATATATTTACAAATTAATTTAAAGCTGTTAATATTTAATAAGACTATTTAATTAGAGTATTAGAAAATAGCTATATAATTAATATAATTATTTTTTAATAAATTTAGTCATTCTATTAGCATACTAAAAGATATAGGAAGGGTTAATATATTTTTTTTATATATGATAAATACAGCTCCCATCTAATATATAAATTTATTAAATTCTGTGAGAAGATCAATACTATCATCTTTTTTTTTACCTTTATATACAAGTCATTTCTTGCAGCTATTGGATATTGATATTTTTTATATATATATAAATATTAGTATTTAGAAGTAGTTATAGATACAACTTATTTAAGATATAGTAAATTTACTAAGATTAAATTTCTTCATATCTTAAGAGCAATTTATAAAAATATATTCAAAAAGTATATTATTTAGCATAAATTCTAAAAAACTAACATCATATTATTTAATCTATCAATTGTACTCAATCAAATGCCTTAAACCATATTATCTATCCTCTTTATCCACTAATATTAATAATGTTGATTCCTGGGGCAGTACACCAAAAAAAGCTAAATAATTTAGGGAGATTGGTGATAGGATATGGGAGATTCATGATATCAACAAAGATTAATTTAATGAGGGCCTAGAGCTGCTTATTCATAGTAATAATATGTTAGTATTATATTCAGCTGCTATCAAAGCTAAGCTTAACCAGTATATTAAAGCTGCTAGGGACCATGCAGCTTAATCATAGGCCTCTAGGCACAGGATTTACAAGGAAGGTATAGTATTAAGCTCAGAGTTTAAAGCTATAAATCAAAATACTGCAAATATTAATGAGCAGGCTGAAATAAAGAGGTGGAGGACTAAGTATAAGTGTTGCCTACCAGAGCTGCTGGATGTGTGCATTCAACAGGGAATTATTATATGAAGGCAATGACATGCTAGGGCCCAAGCTGAAGAGTAGAGCTTTAGTTTAAATATATTTTGAAGTTAAATACTATAGAATTCGTTGAGATATTGAAGCTAGAAGGGGGGGTCTAAAATTGGTGCTCGGGTGGCTGGGGTGCTCGGGTGGTTGTCAGGGTCGCGCAATACGCGCGACCCCAAAGGTTACCGTAGGGGTCGGTTAATATTTTTAAATGTATTTTAACTTCAATTTTTCGTGGGTTGAATAAAATAGTTAACCTAATTTTTTTCTAATAATAGCTGATTAAGAAGATTTAGATAACTAGACTATCCCTAGATACTATTTCACTGTCTCGGGAGATTCCTATCTACCCATTTCCTACCCTATCGCATTCTTTCACTTTATTCTGCCCATCTTGTACATCCTCATATATCTGAGATCCACTACCATCTATTTATTTTATCGCCTATCTGACCTCCACTGTCTGTCTGTGTGACCCACACCATGTGCCATTTACATTGCAAATTCTATCCTGTACCTGGCTAGCAGACTCAAATCCTTACCCTATCAGGGTAGCCCATGCATACATAGCCTTAGACTGAAAATGTCTCTAGAATGGAAGTCATAATCTTCATCAATTATAGGAGTCGGTATCCTAGGGGTAAAAAAACTGTTTTATAATTATATATAATGTCATCTGTCTCTCGCTGACACAGTTAGAGATTTATAAAAAATCTAAAATAGCCTTAAATAACGTTAATTTTTTTAGAAAAAAGTCTACTTTATATATTGCGTATGAGAAGCAGCTTTAAAAATAATCTAAACCACAGATAGCTACTATAAAGGGACTTTTTATTTAAAAAGGTCAGTAGCTTCTACAGTGTGGGAATAAGGTCTAAAAAGCTTAAGATACTTAATTTATTAAACCAGCACTGGCTGCAGTTAAATATCATAAGTACTACCACAGTATTAGACACAAGCAATTGCAATGTCCTAATTGCCATAGTAATTGGTTTTTATAATATATATGCTTTTGGGTGCTACTGTCCCTGTCCTTCTAGATCATGGTCTAGGGTGGAACGCTCACTTACATGGAACGTTCGCTTACCGATTACGTTTAGCCGCAACAGTGTGGCTCACTAACATATTTCCCGGTCGAGCGGGCCACCCACATCAAATCTCTACGCGTTTTACGGCTTCAACTAATTCAACCACCAACCATACCTCCAAAAGTGCATCAAAATTCAAGAAATTTAGCTGAGAAAAAGGGAAAGATCTTATTTGCTATTTCTGCTTTAGAAAAGCAGGAAATTTGCAATATTCACAAAGCAGTATGCATGCATAATATCTCTTATATAATCCTCCAGCAATGACTTAATGAAATCACTTCATGTGCAAACATGCACCAACTGCCATAAATTGACTCAAAGGAATTACTTGTGTAATTAGATTCTATTATTGGATTAATATATAAAGCAGGCTTTTGACCATCTTAAATATAAGAAATAATTAATATTTTTTTATAGAGAGTGGTACAACCCTTATCTAATTAATTAGAAAGAATTAGGTCTCTACCTTTATTAAATAATATAATAAAATAAAAATATGTTATCCTTAATACTATAATTATTGATGAGAAAAATATGAAGATCTTAAAATTATTAAAGAGTGGTTTAATCATATATAAATTATTATAATGTAATATAAGATTATATAGGAGGATATTTACAATTTTAATAGGATTAATTTTATTATAGGCTTAGTAACTACTGCTTAAATAATTATTAAAACTGATTATTATAGAAAAAATTTTTAATATAATTAGATAATTGGGAATAGATTACTTTAATTGAGTGTATTATTCTACTAATTAAACACTTTCTCTATACATTATTTTTAAAAGGAAGATCTATATAAAAAATGAGTATCAAGATTTTAAAGCTTTTATATGATAGTATAACTAAAATTAGACTTAATAAATAAATTTTTAATAAGTCTTTGCTAGCTTAAAATTCTCTTTATTCTTATTATTTTTAATTATATAATTAAGTAATATTATTTTCTAGTTATAAATGGCCATAGTAGCTATTTTATACCTTAATTTAATTAAATATATAATAAGAAGAATAATATTATTATCTATATGCCTATTTATTTTTCTCATAAATTTTAATCTTTAGATGTGGGCTGTTTTGCACTTTTAAAAATATAAATAAGATCTTGGTAGGGCAGAAAATATATTTAAAAATTAATTATATCAATAAGCTTAATTTTTTAGAGGCTTTTTTATATGCTCATAAACGCACTTTTTGAGCAGAAATATTTAAAATAACTTTACAAGTATTAGACCAGTTTTATTTAATTTAAATAAGATATTTAGCAAATTAGATATTTAATTAAGGATCCTTATACCACTATCTAGTTAGTTAACTAATTTAATACTTAAAATATCCTATATTATTAGGCAGCTAGAGAAGCAGATATTAGCTATAAAAAGTACTCAAAGAATATATTTATAATCTTTTATTTTTGCTAGAATTATAATTAGATAAGATTATTAAAAGTATGAATTAATATTAATAGGCTTATTCTTATATATGAAGAAATATGTAAATTTTATGCCAATAATAAATGGAAAGATTAAAAATAAAAGCACTCTATTAGGTAGCTAGTTATCCCAAAAGGCTCAGTGATTCAGGAGGGTTTAGTGTGATTTTAGCATAAGAATGAGGGTATTAAAAGTTAAGATATGCTTTTTATAGATTCAGCACTTTCTGCAGTTGGACCATATGTATGAGCTCCACCACAGTGTTCTAATTATTATATTCAGGGACATACTAGAGCTAGATGTCCCAATCCCCTTAGCAATTAGTTTTTATATAAAATGCAATTGTTTGGTTGGTAGAGGCTCTAGTATTTAGCCCGCGGGCAGGAATTAGCAGGTGGCCCGCTCGAACGGGAAATACGTTAACTTGTGGATTGCATTACTTGGTTGTTTACTGTTTAGGCTATTATGGACGTCAGATGGCATACAACCAAGGGTCCAACCATTTGGGAAACTGCCTGGTTACCGATCTCAATCCATGCTAATATTACAAGTGTCAACGGTGCGACCGATTCGGATGCTTAACCGCTACACTAGGCAAATGACTAGGATGTAGAGCCAGAGGCTCTACACTGCTCCTCATATATATATATATATCAGACAGGATAGGACAGGCACGTAACAAGCAAGTGTAAATATATAGTCAGATTAATAGACCAATGAAAGGATGCCCTTCCAACCAAAACGAACTACATTGTACAGGGTTTATCATGCTAAATTCACGGTTAACTCGACACCGACCCCTCTGCGCGACAAAAGCTCAACCAACAGCCACTCATAACCGCAACCATTAATCAAGCCCATGATCAAATTGTCAGATTAGAGCACTACATAACAGCAGTACACCACCTAAATTAGGAGGATAAGTCTGGAAGACAGATTTAGAGAGGACCTGAAAACGCCTAGCCAGACCTGATGACTGTTGGCTTCCATAAATCCATAAATTGACACGGAGCTTCATTTGACTGTTATATATCACATGATGACACACTTGTTCCCCCCTGTAGGTTCCGATGGGTTCTGTGACTTCTCAATTTCCCCAATCATTAGATCGAAGGCCTTCGCAACATTGTAGTCAAGACGAGCACTGGCCTCTGTGAAAGCACAACTAAAATCCTCTCCCGCCTGCCGTCCTTCCTCCAGTGAAACCTGCCTCTGCTCAGGTTTGAGGTCACTTTTATTACCGACAATGACCAGCGGCACATGGTCAGCTCCCTATACCCTGTTAGCAACGGGTTCACAGGGCTTCGAGAGGATACTTGCCAGGTGATTAAGTATCTTATCCCGAATAACTCTAACCATGTCAAAGGATTGGCGTGATGCCACTGAATAAACAATGATATACCCATGAATCCCAATAAAATGCTTGGAATTTAGGATACTATACTCATCCTGTGAAAATATCAGCTTTTGGAACATAATAACTCAATCGTCTTCCTTACCTGACCAGCTGTATCGATTATCTCCGTTGCGAAGTCCTGCCCATTGTGCTTGATGATACGGCTAAATGTATTCTCAATTGTTGGATAATAACTTTCTACAAAGTGATGCTCGACAAAACGAACAGTCAGAGAAGATTTACCTATACAAAGAGGATGGTTAGTGAAAACAACCAATGCTCCCAGGCCAAACCTGTCCATTATAAGGTAGTCATAATCTCCCATACCCACAGACCGACTGCCAACAATGGCTATTTTTCGCTGCTTGGGTGCGGCAGGCATCTTGTCACCTCTGGGATATACGGCGTGTGAAGATAAGCCCTCAGCGGCTAGAATATAGTATGGTATGATTAGATGTGCTATGTGTCAGGAAGGGACGTGTGAATATGCACATATATTGCATTCAGCACAGGTGAGACAAGACACAGTAGGTAAGCACTGTTTTGTTATGCAAAGGTAGGCTCAGTAGATCGGTGGTAGCCACTAGGGTGGCGAATATCCATTGACAATGTGATTAAACGTAGCTTAGAAAGCAGGAGTGGATTGCCTTCTGGAAATGGTGTAAAACCACCGGAACACTGCCCCTTAGCAAGCAATGTTGGCCGATGTAAAGGAGAAAGTACTGGTCTAGACGCATCAATCTGCTGTTAGACGCCAAAATACATACCGTAGTTGATCACCTGACGCCCGATTTGTTAGATTCGGCAACCATATTATCGATTTTTAAACCCCCATAACTCATTCAATATGGCTCCAATCGATGAAGCAATTGCAGAATTAGAATCCCTGAAGCCGGGTGATTCAATTAATTACGCCAAAGTCGCAAAATGATATGGTGTTGACCGTTCAACACTCTTAAGGTGATTCTGGGGGGTTCAGCACCCAAAAGAGGACCAGTATGAGAATCAGCAAGTGCTCAACAACTGCTAGGCTAAGGACCTTATTCTTTATATAAATAAGCTTACTGACTGTGGCTTATATCCTTCACATAAGATGCTACAGAATCTTGCTGCAGAAATTACTTGGAAGAGGCCTAGAAAGTACTGGCCTAGCCAATTTGTGAACTGATATAGTGATGACCCTCTTTCTTAATATATCATTAGTATAGACTCCTCTCTCAAGTGGGCTGATTCAGCATATAAATATGCTCTATACTTTAAGCTTCTTTATCACAAAATACATTAATATGATATACAGCTGGAAGATATCTATAATATAGATGAGAAGGGGTTTCTTATTAAGATTCTTGCCAAAGGCAAGAGAATCTTCTCAAAGCAATAATATGAGAAGGAGGGCCTCAAGCAACAACTGCAGGATGGTAATTGGGAGTGGATTACTAAAATTGCTTGCATTTATGCAGATGGGACCTCACTGTCTCTAGGCCTAATTTATCAGGCTATGTCATCAAAGCTTCAAGATTCCTAGCTTTAGGATTTCAAAGCCATAGACTACTAGTGTTTTTTCTCTTCACCTTATGTTTGGACCAATGATGAGCTGGGATATGCATGGCTTTGAGATATTTTTGATCAAGAGACTAGGGATAAGGCAAGACAGAGATAGTGCCTTCTAATTCTTGATAGTCATAGATCCTATATTAATATGAAGTTCATCAACTACTGCCAAGAGCATAAGATCCATTTAATAACTTATCCACCTTATTCCACGCATTCCTTGCAGCCACTTGATATTGGGATTGATATGGAAAAGGTCACGTGGTATGGCGGTTTGGCTCCCCCTCCAACCCCTGAGAATCCGGGCCCCTGATTATATGTAGAGAGAGACACAGAGATAGAACAGAATGGCATCCGTTCCTTAGTAGGCTACGTACGTGTAGTCGATACAGCTTCATTCTGCCCTTCTTCCCTGAGTTACATGCATATTCCACAACAGGGATCTTTGGGCCTTTATCAATAGTATATAGCAATGAATTAGAGTAATTCTTACATGATAGCCAAGGCCTAACCCATATTACTAAACAGGATTTCTTCCGCCTATTTTGGCCAGCTTGGAAAAAGGCTTTATCTTCAAAAAATATTTATCTTTATGGAAATCAGTTGGGATCAGCCCATGGGACCCAGAGGTCATTTTGACCTGATTCACCAAAGAAAATAATGACTGGCTATTATCTAGTAAGTCCTCTCACTCAATACTAGGTACTGAAGACTGATAGAAGATTAAGAGGCTTCTTAAGGCTGTTGTCACTGATGTTTATGACTGAAACACTGAGAAATTGAGTTTTACAATGCATCACCTTTCCACAGAAAATATACTGCTTAAGCTACACTACCAGGGCCTTGAGACAGCCCTCCCAAATAAGCAAAAGAAGCGCCATCATGGCAAGCCACTTCTTTTTAAATTATGGGCTCCAGAGGATGGCCAGCAGTATCTTACTCCCTAAAAAAGATATAGCAAGCATGGGATCTTCAAGTTGAGAAGGACCAAGCTATACAGCTCAGAAAGGCTTCAAAAAAGAAAAAAAAAACTCTGCTAGCAGCAAGAGAAGGAAAGGAAGAGATAGTTAGTTGAAGAGAGGAAGAGAAGCACCAAAAGGAGGAGGTGCAGCTTGCTAAGAAGGCTAATTTACAGCTTCAAAATAACTCCAATATCGCTAAAAAGGGCAAGATGAAGCTATCAGCAACCTCAAAAGCAAAGAATTCAAGAGATCTAGTGCCTCCGGAGGTTGAGACTGCTGGTGAGGCCCCTATAGCACTAAATCATCAAGGCAGACCAATCTGCCTACCACAATGCTTCCGCGAATAAAATAACCTCATATATATAGCTTCACTGGAGCCTCAATATAAAAAAACCAAAAGATTTCTATATAATATCATCTATATGTGGTTGAATAGCTTCAAATTCGATGTTGGTGTGGTGGTCGAATTCGGGCGTCAGGTGATGAACCACGGTAAGTACTATTCGAAAGTCCTTGGCACTGGCCAGCAGGGGGCCATAGAAGCTATGATGACAACACCAGGCATAAAAAACAAGCTACGATGATTCCCAAACACAAGGAGACATGAATATTAGTAATGGATAATACAGATACAGCATAGCCGTGAACTTGGATACAACCAATCCCACTCTGTAGAGGATACTGCGCCGGCCAGAGGATGCTGGATGGACTGGACTGTCTATAAAAATGCATTCTAAGCACATATGATTAACGTTTTCAACAGGTGAGTGGTCCATTTTTCCCACCTTCCTCCACCACTAGAATAATTATCTCTTCAACACATCTCCTTTCCATTGAATTCATCAAAAATGCCTCTAGTGATATCTGCCTATAAATCAATAAAAATTTAATTAAAAACACATGCCACTGCAATATTTAGTATATCTAAATTAATATTATCTAGATAACTAGATAGAATGAAACTATAATCAAAAATACATGCTAATGACCATAAAGTGATTAAATTTAAAAAATAATTGCTTCACAAGCAATTATTAGATATAAATTAATAAAGATATTATTTTATTTATATCTTTTAAGATTTTATTATGATAATACTTAGAGTTAACTAGCTTTATACCTTTATTAAATATTATCTTTAGATATATATATAATATATAAGATAAATAACATATCAATATGCAAAATAAGAAAATATAAAAATTATTAAATTATAGTTTGAGACTTACAAGCTGTTATTTAAGAATAAATATATATGAAGATAATATCTGGAATTTTAAAAATTTTTATTTATTTTTTAAAGTGATTATTGCAGTTGAATAAAATAAATGACTATAAATAGGATATAATTATCAAAATAATTAGGTCAAAAGGCATATATTATTATTAATTATTATATTAAAAGTAAGCTATCAGCAAGTTATTTAGTTCTAAAAAATCTAAACTTATTAATAATTAATAGATTATAACTAGTTAAAATATAAAAATTTTTGAAAATTAAGTACTATGTAATTAGCATTAAATATTTATTTTTAATAGTTATAACAATTTTTTATTTTAGCTAATATCTACAGCAGTTTTATAAAAATAATATTAAAAATTTTTAATCTAACATATACTATCTCTAAGTTTATTTTTTAATTCTATATTCTATATCACTACTAATTAAAGACTTAGTTTTTTTATTTTTTGAGACTCTAGAGAATACTTATTAAATTAAAAAATTTAAAATTTATAAAATAATCTTAATATAAAATAATAGTTTTCTAGTAGCCTTATGATTTATATTTAATATCTTAAAAAAGCTAGCTATATGAAGAATAATATAAATTACTCTTTTTACGGCCAAAAAATCAAGGCATTATAAATTAAAAATAGGTAAAAAATTAGAAAAAGATAAGAAAGCATGCTAAAATAGGTAATAATCATCTTAATATATAAAAAGATCGTAATCATGTTTAATATATATTTTTTTAATAAGTAATCTAAGGAATCTATTATTATATTTTATTAGTAAGCTCTGCAATGCTGCAGTGGCTGTAGAATAGTGAGATATACAATTTAAAATTACCTTAGTAAATAGCTATTAATTTGTATATTTAGTTGATTTAAATAATGTTGGTGTTGAAGAGCTTGAATTATTATCTATATATGGGAAAAAATGGCCACTCGTCCGTGTGGACCACTCACCCGTTGAAAACGGTATACTTTTTTAAATAATAATTAACATATTTAATTAAAGGGGCACTAGTTACTAATGGAATAATTAGACTATTTCTTATGTAAAATCTATATTTCTTGATAACAATATCCAGAAAAAAGGGTTTAACATACTGTAAAGGGGGGCGCACGTGCGTTGTTCCCTGCGAAGGAACCAGGTTGTGATTGAGAGATCTCTGGGATGGATACACCAAGCTGATGCCGCTATACCGCACGGCACTGAACGATCCAGTAATGAAACAATATAATAAAAGAAGAAACTCAACAATGATGAAAACGATACTAGTGAAGCAACCTAGAAACCAAAAGAATGCTCAATTTCTCATTAGGCTGCGGCCCTACGGCGTTCTAAGATAGGAAATATGAGAGATCCAGGGTTTTGCAGTGCCCTCGGCACAGTACCTAAATTTATTATATTAAAGAATTATCCCTTTTATGGTATTTTATGGGAGGTTCAGCATATTTTTTTAAGAGCAGAGCGATAGATAATAAGATAAAATATATCTATTTAGATTATACTTTTAATAGAGGGATAAAGGATAGGTTAACTGTTATACATTAAATATATATATATAATATATTACTGTTAGCTTTAGTAAATTATTAATTAATTTAATAGGTGATATATTCTTTTAATTAGATAAAATATAAACAGTATACTGCATTTTAGTTCCTTGTAAGAGCTGGATGGCGGTGACGGCATGAAGAGGTAATCAATATACGGAGAGTGCTAAGTACGATAGTAGGGAGGAGAACGTAGGTCCTTATTGTGTAAGAACTAATCGCTGACTTCGCTATGGTGATTGCGGAGTTCAGCTCCCTAAGTGCTAAGTACACGTGATATTATGTGGCCTGAGGCTACAGCCTTCACGGCCTTACAACCTTGGCTAAATATATAACCTTAAACATAATTATAGATATTATAAATTAGGAATTTATATTATCAGGACTTTAATAATATAAAGTATAT